TCCCTTCAATGTGGTTTTCTTCTTCGTGTTTAAAGTCAAAGTTATACGGCACTTTTCGATGCTTACTATGCACATGAGGCTCAAAATAATACGAGCAAAATAGAGAAGCTTCTTTGACCAAATATGTATTGGATATTAATCCTTCCACTTTAGCTTTATCTTAATATTATTTTTTAACTTTCGCGAGATACTCGCAACTATGAATTATTTTAACTTTTTAAAGTTAAAAATTTATTTAATTTTACTTTTAAATTGAATGTCAATACCTTTCAAATTGATGCATACATCGATATTGCACGAGTCCCACAATAGATGCCTCATATAGTAGATGGATTAAAAGATGTTCCATGGAGCCAAAAAAAGCTGGGTGGAAATATACATTCTATTTTGTACAAAATGATGGGTATCTCATATTAAGTTGCAACATATCTTCTTGCTTTATAATTATAAAAGTCAATTGCTTGAAAAATAAACTCAACTCGTAAGTGATTGCCAAAATTTCCTAGAAAAAACTCCCAAAATGCAATTGGAAGTAATCTCTACATGAGGTCATGATAGTCATGACTTTTCATCCCATAAAATTTATCATGCTCGCATATCAACACATCTAGCTAGATTGGACACATATCCATCGGGGGACTCGAGTTATTTTATCCATTCAAGCAATTTTCTTTTTTTTTTTTTTTGATAGAGTAAATGTAGCTTTAGGATACTTTTCGGACGTATCATCCTTTGCTAATTCGGCCTTTTACGGAAGAGTTTAAAGTCTTCCCTAGAGTTGGCATTGTCTTTAGTTTTTTTGACACATTCATGATTGTGTTAAAATATTATCAAACATATTTTTCTCAATATGCATTACATCTAAATTATGCCGAATGAGATTTTTACTCTAATAAGGCAAATCCCAAAAAATACTTTGTTTCCTCCATCCGGACATCCGAGAGATTCTACTATTATAATCATCCGCATCATCTTCGTCACCTTCAACAACCCATACTTGCTCGACCAAATGTAACATCTCTCGTTCTAGATCGGATTGGAGGAGGACTAGATTTAACAACTTTTTTAGTGGTGAATGCTTTCTTGTTTCTTCTATATGGATGATTATGAGGAAGAAAATTTTGATGGTAGTCAAACTAGGAGTTCTTCCTTCCATTAGGAAGGGAGAAAGCTTCGAATTTTTCATACGAGTAAGGATAAGCTTGTTTTCCTATAATAACTCCAACCGAGACAGCATCAAGTCACTAATAGTCCACATAATTACAGCTCTTAATAAAAAATTCTACTTACGAGTACACATCCTAGGTCATCACACCCACCTCTCGTAACTCGGATAAACTCGGATATGAAAGGCTACAAGTAATCTAACTTGTGTTTCGATTTGTTGGACTCGAAATAATCACTATGAGGAATATATATTCCTCCTTCATACTCATCCATGGTGACAAATTCTATGGAGTCACAATGATCGACCGCGAGGAATATTATGCACCGGATTGACTAAATGGTTGAAACCCATCGATGCACACTCCTAATCGAATGATCCTTATTTTAGCTACAAAAGGAAGATTAATCTCATTGAAATTTTTCCATGTAATAGAATCGAAGGATGACGCATTACTCCTATATCATCTCCCCCATGTTCGAGCAAGCCATATCATGTACTCGGCTATCGCATTCAATGCATACAATCATTGCGAGACACGGGATTAGAGGAAAGTAGTATATTTTCTTATTTGGAATAAGTTTTCCTCTTCCCGATCCTCGACGAGAACTTCGATATCAAGGATGTTGACAAAATCTGTATTTATCTAATTCATTTTCTTCCTTCTAATAAATCATGCATCCGTTCGACAACAATGAATTTTTTCTATCGGTAAACACATCCTCTTTATCAACTTCTTTGTTTCATAAAAGTTATCCGTCATACGATTATCAATCGACATCAACTCACATAATTAGTTGAAACACTTTTCTAGAAAATGATAATCGACTTTCGGAGTTAATCATTTGAGCAACTGCTAACAATTACGAATGTTCATCATAACTAGGCCAAATCTCTCTACATGATGCATTCAACATATCATAAAAGTGTTGGGCGCTAGGATTAGGAACCTCCTCTGTGTTGCCGGATCAAAGGATGGATCGACTGCATCTATTAACATACTTTGATATGGGTTTTAGGGCTTACTGCAACTACCTTCGCCTATATAATAATTTTCATAAACATGTCGACTCCTAGAATTTTCGGATATCATATAGGTTTCAAATTAACCATGATGCACCCAATCATAATATCCTGGCACAAATGATATTTGACCATGTCAATCTCTTCATAATTTCAATTTTGACACTTACCGAAATTACAAGGACACCTAATTTTGGTTTTGTCCATGCATTCGGGATGCTCAATAGCAAAACCTAAAAATTGTTCTACATCTCTCACAAAGTCATCATTTAACAATCCGTTAATTGATCGAAAATTCATCCATTGTCGATTAGTTCTTATTTTTATAATTGCTTGTAAAAATGACACAACCATTGTAAACAATTACTTGTCATCATTCCTAACAATTTTAAATAAATATTAAGCACATATATTAGTTGTATAATTATTTCTAATTAGTTATGAATTTTGTTTAAGAATTTAACTTCCTAATTAAATAATTATTTAAAGAATAATTACATTTTTTAATAAATACTTAATTTTTTAACATTCAATTATTTTTGGTGTAATTTTTTATATTTTCTACCTTAGTTCCAATATATAATAACGTAAACCTAACCTAAACCAAACATTTAACCTAATTTAAACTACCTTAGGTAATTTAAGGTAATTACATTATCATTTTTACTTAAAATACATGAAATTTTATATTTTTTTAACCTAAAAACGTCAAATTACATTATCATCTAATTAGTTTATGAAAATATTCAAATAAATTTATTTTAATTAAACCCTAAATAAAATATTTATTTAATTCTATTAATTAATAAAATATTTATAAAATTTTAACATTTATTTTAATTTTTTAATTACATTTTTAGTTAATTTTTTTCAAAACTATCAAATCATTATGCATGTTATCTTATTTCAATTTTAATAATTAAACTAATAAAATTACTTGTAAAATTTACATTCGAAATGACTAAACTACGTCAAAAATTATATAATTTCAACCAAATTTAACTAAACTACGTCAAATTCAAAATTAAGTTTGAGCAAAGAACTAACCAAATTAACCTAACACTAAAAACAAATAAATATATAATTAATTCGCTTAATTAAAATAACAATTTCGGATTAAATAATTAAATTTTAATCTAACTCAAAATTAACAAAATTTAAATTTTTAAGATTATGTTAACATACAAATTAATCTAACAATTAACATAACAACAAAATAAAACTTAACAAAATTAATCTAACCGTTATAAAAATAAAATAACAACTAACAAATTTAAACTACTACATACAACTTAACATAACAAGATAATTAATAACATTCAAAAAATTAATAAACTAACAAATAATAAAATTTAAATAAAAGTTTGTAACATTTATCTAATTAAAAAAAATATAAGAGTTAGAGAGAGAAAGTTTTACTCGATAGATCAAGGATAGAGAACACGGATACGATCCGATTTTGAGGGAGAAAGATACCCCTCACTTTGTTGAATGGTTTTGAAAAAGATTTAGTAGCGTGAGATGACGTGGGTGGGCATTTTTGTGGGCGGCGGCGGAAGGGGAGGTACGGTGGAGGTGGGGGAAGCACATGGATAAGAAAAAGAAAGAAGAATATATAAAGGTAAAATAGGGACGGACTCGATTCCATCGCTAATTAGCAAGGGATTATGGGTCCGTCGCTCAAAGTTTAGCAACGGATGTGACGTTCGTCACTAAAAGTCGTTGAGGTAACGATGAACTTGGCATCCGTCCTTTCTCGATCGAGATTTTAGGAGGAAATTTCCCCCAAAATCTCTCGACCCGAGTCCGTCACTACCTAGTGACGAACGCCAAGTCCATCGCTAACTTTGGGCCATTTTGGGGGAATCTCCCCCAAAAAGGCACAAAGTAGCGACGGACATCAAGTTTCGTCACTAATTTTGGCTTTTTTTAAGCCATACATCAAGATTAGCAACGGATTTCAAAATTCATCGCTAACTTCACTAAATTTTAGAGACAAAAAAAATTCGTCGCTAATTTTTTCATTTAACGACCACAAGGCCGTCACTAATCCATCGTTGATTTTGGCATTTTTTTCCCCGCCTTATTTAGCAATGGATTTTTTACCGTCACTAATTATCCCTCATTAGTCCGTCGCTAATTCGTAATAAAACACAACCTTTTATAGTCCATCGCTAATGTATAGTTAATTGATATTTTTCCGGTAGTGATCCTTTTGTGAATTCTCTCCATTGAAAGAATTTGTGCTTAATGGGTTGTTATATTAAAGGATTCAAGGTGTTTAAAATATCGAGAAATCGGCTACGAACGTAGCTCTTAAGGTATTTAAGTTGGAAAATTCGCCTCAAAACTTATATTTTTAAATAAAGAAACTCGGGTATAGACATTTTCTCTATGAATAACTTGCCTTCGTACAACAAGTAGATATTGATATTTATATGCCAAGTGGAATGGTAAGAATGTATGCAAATGGGAAAATTATGGTCGACTACAATCTCAATGTGTTCAAATTTTTCCATGGGATTCGTAATGCACAATTTATCTACACCCCACGATATGAGCACCAAGGTATATTTATTTTTTTCTTCATTACCAAAATGCAAACACAAATTTATTTCTCTAACATGGAATCTTTATATCTCTCACGGTTAGACTTTAACATAACATCTTGAGATATTAGAGCAACAAGCTTCTTCGTTTGGTATATTGAAGACCTTAAAGATAATAACGAATCCTACAAGCATCCCAACCAATAATAGTGAATCCTATAAGCATCCCCACCTTCATGACATTTGTAAAATTGATGACTTACCTTTTTGGCGGCTCTACATGTGCTGAAACCAACTTTGTTAAGTGCCTAGAGGTATTAACTTATCCATATTGTTGTTCTTGTGGAATAGTATACAAATTTATATCAACATAGTTGAAGTATGGAACGTAAATTTATGGTCATCATATTCAAATCTGGATTTGCATAGTTTTTATGTTGTAATTAATTATAAGTTCATTTGTAACCGCCATTAAAGAAAGGTGTTATGGCACAATGCGATGGCATTTTTCAACCGAACTTGCCAATCCAACTTCGACTCATCGACATAGGTTAAGCAATGCTACGTTGTTGTAAAATCACATTCATAATGATTTAGTTAATGTTATTTGGAATGCTCAACCTGTTCGTTGCACCATAGGGAAAAGTTAGGGTTACTATTCGGTTTTCCTTCTATCCAACCATGCTTTACCTCTTTGATAGAAAGTAGATCATTAATACCATCATCAAAGCCGAGTCATTTTTAACCACAAAGTGGTATCACGCTGGTAACCAAGCATTAATTTATAAGCTATATATGCTAGATCTAGACTTCGATCCTTGTGAACGGTACTCATGAGAATTTATTCTCAAAACACTCGATGTCATGCGTTGAGGAATGCCCCTTAGCAACATCTACGGAGGGATTAGTCTTTGAGATATGCAAAAGCTTATCTAAGAACACCACGCTCGCTGAACTAACAAAAAAACTTAGTCATTTTTTACAAGCTAGTTCGACCTTGGTAAAATATATTTTGGTCATTGACGTTTCTCAACTATATTTGTGACTTTAATTTTCTATTTTGAATCATTTCACTATCTTCAGATAACTAGAGGCCTCGCTTACCTTTGGCTTTTATAGGCCATTTCAACAATAAGCTATCATAATAAAGATGTAATTGTATTCTTATTTGTGTCACTCATTATCCGGAGGTTACCTCAATGATTGTGGAGACAACCATTTCCCCCACTCTTTTTTGCATCGAAAGTTCTTCCATGTATGGTAACCTCACTCGGTCAAGACATGCATGTGCGGAGAACCGATATTTATCAATGTTTCCCGATTTTGACCTTATAGTAATCTTTTGTAACAATTCTCATTTTTTTTAATTAGAAACAATTTCATCATTACATGTAAGCATTTTGGACTTGGAGCATGAAGAATTCATAGTTAAGCATTGTTAACGAGTGGTTCGTCTATAAGAGATGAAATTTTCAACCATATTCAATCCGATATGAACTTCGGAATTAGCATTTCTTTGGCTTCATACCTTTTGGTCTTGGTAGGTACTTTAAAGTTTAGTTTCAAGAACTATAGCAAGAAATGTAGCCTTTTCCATAACAAGAAAGTATTATTAGCTAAAAAACCTTTGGCCATGCCTATGCACTCTTATCATAGCTATGATTATAATTTTTTATTTTCCTTCTTTAATTGATCTAAGTAGTTATCATGTTTTCAAAGTCATATACTTGTGGATGTGCCGTGGGTTATGTTGGTTGTTGATGTTCCCAACCATGGGTTTTGAATGTTGGAATGTGCATAAAATAATTCATTTTGGCCGAAGCGGTTCTATCTCTTTACTCTACTTAGACAAGTGGCTTGCTTCTTAGTAAATTTGATGTATTTGGCATGTAAATGATGGAAAATATGAAAAAAGTGGAAGCTTGTTTGGACAAAAACTTAGAAGTGGTAATTTTCCTTGTCCAACTATAGTGGGGGCTTTTTAAAAATTGATTAGACGACTAGTCGACGGACCGGTTAAGAAGCAAAGAGCTAATGTTTTGACTTGTAGAAACAATTTTCAACCAACCATGTAGAAAAGATGTAAATAGTAAAAAGCATGGAAGGAAAAGAAGACAATGCTAGCAAAGTACAAGTCAAGTGGCTAACAAGTGGGCCGTCAAGGTCCAGCCAACTGGAGTTTTGGATTTTGTCTAGTGTGTGAGTTGGAGAGCTTTGCGAAGAAGAGTTCAAGTGCTTTTTTTTTTTTTTTTTTTTTGCTAAAATTTTAAAGTTCTAGAATAAAAAATTCTTTGATGCAAAAGTTTTAAACCCTCAAAATAATATGAGTCATCGACTTTATTCTGAGCCCACCAAGTTAATATCTCTAATACATCCAAAAAATAAGACATGGACATTGGCTTTTTTAGAACATCCATGTCCATCCTTGCAATTCATGATCACATAGGGTTAAGTGAGGCTCGTCTTCAATTCAATTTATTTGTGATATAATTTGAGCCTATGTCAATAAAAAAATCAAAAAAAATAACATGAATTAGCATATAACAAAAAAATTAGCTAAGTTATTTAATTAATTTCTTTTGAACAAATTGAACCAATACCCACACTATTGTTCTAAAAATGCTTTTGGATGTCATTTACTTCGTTTTTATTTTTATCTACATAATCAGAAACTGTTTTAGGGCCTGAATCTTTAACAAGAGATATGTTGTGCCATAACCCACTGTTTGGTCTCATTTGTATGACATTACAAGAAACTGAGTAGGATTTCCTTTTCTCGCACTGATATAGCAATGCTCCACTATTATAGAAAAGGTATAAATATATAATGCTAATGCCTGGATGCTGTTAGCTGCCTATTGTCAACATTAAATTAGTTGACCATAAGCTTGACCGAATGCTCTTGGTGTATTTATTGGGTGGTCTTTAGGGGCTTGTCATAGGTGTTTTTGGCACCTGGGATGAGTGCTTGGCTAAAGTAGCATTTTCTTCTATCTCCTGATCTTTCAAGTTTTGTTGACATTTCATGAATTCAGAATGAAAGCCAGACGCGTGCTTATAACATCCTAGTCTCGCTTGAGTTTGTTAATATCAGGAATAAACAGATGAAACAGAATAGGATCATCTACAGTTAAATTTTGTATATGATTTACAGGCTCTGTTCGGAAGGTGATATTAGCATTCTCCATATGATGGCTGCACTCTTTAATCTCTTACACTTTGTTTGTTTGTTTTTTTTTTTTTTTCCATTGTAAAATGACAAAATTATCTTGAATAAAAATATTCTATTTTGTCACACACTCTCTTATTCTTTTCTTAGTGCTGCCACATAAATCGAGTAAATATATTTTTAAATATGTTTCTAACTTCTTCTTCCTTTTTGTTATTTTTCAATTTATTTTGATAGAATAACCATTGTTAATTGCTCCTTGAATACCATAAAATTTCCCTCAATGTTATGCAATATTTGACATCTTATTTATATGGTCAAAAATGTTATTAAATTAAAAAGAATACATTTTCTAGAACAAAGGATTGTTAAGTTAACAATGCATTTGTTTCTCGTCAATAAATACTTTTACTTATAATTTTTTTTCATTTTTTAAAATAAAAAATTAAAATAAATTGAAAAAGATTAATTTTTTTTATGAAAATTGAGGTTAGATTAATTAGAAAGAAGTCAACGGACAGGTAATAAAAGTATGAGACATAACAAAAAAGGATAAAAACTATAGAGCAGAAAAAAAAAGTTGTAAATAGATTTGAAAATATAGGAATTAATTAATTTTTGAAACTATATGGATTATTTAATTTATTTTAAAAAACTAATGGATTAATTTATAATTTACTGTTTTCTATGTCACCGCTCAACAGAAAAGGAGGGACTATGATATTTAAGGCAGGATGTCATTTGACAATAAAAGAAAGAAAATGAAAGGGGTTAGGAAGCATAGGTTATCATACCGGGGGTGCCAATGTCACCTCCTGCGGTGTTTCCTTGCAAATGTGAAGAATTATTGCTGTAATTGTAGTGGGCCAAGTTCTCATATGGTTCGCCTCTTGAGATTGACTGTAATCCAGATCGGATGTTTGCATTTTTTCCTTCAATGAAGTCACTTTTATACAATTTCAAAGCCTTGAGGGCCTGAAATTATTGGATTTATTGCACACTATTGTTCACCTAGAGTTGCTCTAGCAAGACAAGGCTATGGCTTCAACATCTGATGTGAAGCTTTGATTACTGTTATTTGCTGGTTACGAGTCTTTTTTGTGCTCCTGTGGTGCTTTATTTCTGTCTCTGCTGTTCCATTGTAAGAGTTGCTACTCATTCATGGTATTTGCTGCTGGATTAGAAGGGACGATGAATTGTATTTGCAACTTGATTGGTCTGGTGTTGCCTAGATCGTGGGAAAAGTGTGTCTGTACCATTATGTTCTCGTTCCTTCTGGTATTTACTGCAATTTGGCAATTTGTCTTCAACCTCAACTGTCTTTGGTTATTGACCTTTTCCTCTAAGATTGGTTTAGTGTTTCCAGTTTTCTTTCCTCTGCATTCCACCGTCACTATTAAGTAGAGATATAATAGGATATGTGTGGATGCAGTTTCTTGCCTTTTGTCATTACTAAATCAATTGGGATTAAGCCTAATCCATTACTCTAATCAGTACTTAAAGACAAACATAAACCATCGTATTCATTACATTTTTTACTTCTTCTATCTCAATGCATCACTAGGGAAGGACAACCTGTACTTGATCAATATTCTCCATTATTTTCATTTTCGGGCTGCCTGCATATGGTGCCGGCAGCGCCATAGGATCTGCGTGATTTGCATTAGGGAAAAAGTAGAGTGGACGCCATTAGATTACAAAGCCCATTGAAAATAGAAGATTTATTTTGATGCAGGACTTTAAGATATTTCTACAATAATCAACATTTCATTATAACCACAAAGAAACATCCATCCAGAACACTAATGAAACTTTGAAAAAGAAAGAAAAAAAAACAAGGAGAAAATCCACATTAAAAAAAATAATAATAAATAAGAAGAAGCAGCCAAATACTAAAAATTAACAAGCCGAGCAACACCATCTCTAACCAAAAGTCAACATTCGGGCACTGGTAGGTCCTCCTCACCTGGTGGAGCCAATACCCACTCCTCATCTTCATCTCTGACCATTCCTTTGTTCTTTTCTACCCACCATACTCCCGGCACCAAGCACTCGTCTTTCAAGAACTCAGATGACTTGTTCACCAATGCCAAGCTCCTCTTCACTTTCAGCTCAAACTCTTGCTCCTCACCGTTCCACCCTGCCACTATGTGCAACATGGCCTGCAAATTATGCCAATCACTCGGATTCTTCGAGTCCTTCAAGCTTGGAGATTTCCTCGTATCAATTTCTAACTCCGTTCCGGTATATACATACCCCATCAATCGCCCTGGATAGTGCGGTATTACATCAATCTTATTTTTTATATGCAAAACCTTGAGATTCGGATACTTTTTAAACCTCTCGTTGAATGCCTTGTTTCCAACTTGTGGGCTGCCAAAGACAAAAGCTGCTACCGGGATATCTGTAATCCCATTTTCCACAAGATCAAAAGCACTCAAAATAGATAAACTAGCACCAAGGCTATGACCAGTAAAGATAATGCTCAGATCGTCATCTTTATACCGCTCCCTTAGCTCTTTCACATGGGCCAAAAGCTGCGCCCTCGCACTTAATTTGGTGAAAGGCGATTTTGGGTCGTCAGAAATATACATCGAAAGCCAGCCTAGCATCACCTTAGGAACTTCATCATCGTCATCTTCACTGCTACTGCTGCTGCTGTTTTCGTGATCATAAGTAGTACTAGTAGCACCCCTTAACAATGGTTTAGCAGACTTGAGCTTTGCGCCTAAAATGTCAATCCATTCGTAATTTCTTGTGGTTCCGCGCAAGGCTATGTAGATCTCACGCCTGCCAAGAGTTTTGGTGTATTCATCGGAGGTGACAGCGATGTAGCCAATCCAGTTGGTTTCACGGTCCCAGGAATCACGAGACAGAGAGTGGAGAAGGAAGGCTTCTGGGAGACTGACACGAGCAGTGGCGTAGAGGAAAGAAGAGACTAGATAGTTTTCGGGGTTGTCAAGCATTACTTTTTGAAAGAAGTTGTGCTTGCCGTACCTGCTAGTGCCACAATACCTGGAGTTTTGGTCGTTGTTGAAGGCATCATAAGTGGCCTGGCAGAAGTCGCCACATCGGAGGATGAGTTTGCGGAGGCTGAGGTCGAGAGGGTCAAGGAGGTTGTCCCAGTTATTGCTGCCAAGGATTTCCGGCCATCTTGCCTCACTTGTTCCGTCCATGGGAAACTAGCTAGAGGGTTGACCAGGCTTCTGGGGCTGGCTGCTGTGAAGAAAATGGGGGTGCCCGATGAGGAGTTAGTTGGAAAGAAAAAGAAAAAAAAAAAAAAGAAAAAAAAACATATGGTGTTATGACACTTTGGAAGAATTAGTATTGGTGGGACCTTGTAAAATGGAAAAGGAAAAGGCTAAGTGGTGGATTGATGATAATGTTGTGATTGCGAGCCACCATCACTATGCATTTTCATGGTTCAAAATTATTAGTGGATAGAAACGGATATGCTGTTTTCTGCAATATTCTTAATTTGTTCCCTTCTTGGAGTAACACAGCATCAAAAGTTGGTATTTCTCGGTGTACCAGCGACTAGATCAAGCCTCGAGACGAAGCGAGAATATATTTGACTATTTGATGGTCTGACTTCGAAGTCCTAGGCCGGATTCCGGCAAAGCCTGCTGCCGGAGAAGATAAGGCTGCCCTTGTTTAGTATCTAGGATCAGGTGGGGTGGGCTGAGGTATTGCTTTCTTTCGTGGGTTTATTCGAACTAGTTTTTTGCTAGTTAGTTGCCGCTTATGCTGCTGATGGGACCAATTAGATAAAATTAATTTAAAAATTATTTTAGTTTGATAATCTACGAAATTTATTAAGATATATTGAATTAAAATTTTTATAAAATTTTATTTTTTATTTAATTTTTATAGTTTTTATGAATTTTGTAATTAAAAAACATGATTTTTTTTATATACATTAATTTTTAAATAAAAACTTATAATGATTTAAATAGAAAATTTAATCTAAAATTTTAAAAGTGTTTTAATATTTTTTCATAATATTGTAACAAAAAATAAAAAACAATTGATATAAAAATCGTTATAAATATTAATAGATGGATGTTTTTTCCTTAATCCATGAGAAGATTATTTTTAAAAAAAAGTACAAATATTAGAGAAGAAACGGATAGAGCAAACGAAAATCCACGCATATAGACAGTAAACCATATAAATCAATAATCCACGCATATGGACAACAAACCATATAAATCAATGATTCACCAACCTCCCAAGTCAAACAATTTTCTACATCAAATGCTAGAGGCGAAGCAAAATGGAGGCAAAAAAGAGAAACCAAAACACATTCCTTGCATCACCATCATCAATTCATCATGCAGCATTAAGTGCTGTAGTAAAAAAAAAAAAAAACTTTGCCAAAGGGATTAAAAAGATAGGAATGAAAGGAAACAAATAGAGGGGCAAATAGGTAAAATGACATAAAAATAAATGACATATAAGAAAATTGGCTCAAAACATAAGAGTGAAAAAAAAAAAACCCAACTTGCTCGGCGCAAATTCTAAGAAAGAAATGTAAAAGAGAGCAAATGAAAAATACATTTTAAAACATATTAGAAGGAGCAGATGAAGAATTGCATCATCAAGCAACATGGGCCATGCACACCACCAAAAGAACAATTCAGATCCATGCAAAAAAGCAAAACAGTGCAGCTGAGTGATAGTCCACAGCTTCTTGAGTCTGCGAGAATAGTCTAGGAACAAAAATATCACCACACACTACAACAAAATGGATAATTAACAATGGATATTAGCGATAGATATTATTCTATCTTTAATTGAAGACAAGTTAATGATGAATTAGCAACAAATTCGAAAAATGAAATTTTTGGGAGTAACTAGTGACAGAATAGCAAGGAAAATTCAAGGATGGAATAAAAATCATCGCTAAAAAACGCACCACATTTAGCGATAGAATAACGAAAGAATTTCGTCGTTGATTTAGCAACGGAAAGGAAGTTCGTCGCTATACGTCAATAATTTATGATGAAAAAATTTCATCGCTAAATAAAAAGCTGTGGGGAATACGAGGGTTAAAAATTGAAATTCAAATTAGCGAGGGAATATTATTCCGTCACTAATTTGAATTTTAAATAGCGATGGATGACCAAATCCTTCATTAATCGGGCAACTTTTCCAAAAATTTCAAAGACTTCAATGCTCGTTTGGAATTCAAATTAACGACGGACACTTATTTTTGTCACTAATTAGCAATGGAATAGCGATGGAAATGCATTCATCGCTAAAAAAAACCTATAACTAGATGGTTTCTCTTCTTCTTCTCCATTCAAACTTTCCCTCTCCTCCACAAAACCCAGCCGCTGACCCCAAAACACCTCCCCACCCTACCCCACACCAGCCATTGCATCCCCAAACCATTTAACTCAATGAGGCACATCTTTCTCCCTCAAACTCGACACAATCTCTCTTCTCTCTCGTTGATCTCTATGGTAATTATTTCTCTCTCTAACTCTTTTTTTAAAATTGAATTAAAGTTATAAGTTTTATGTTAATTTCGTTATTTGTTAGTTGATTAATTATTTATTTAATTTTGTTATTTATCGAGTTTAATTTTTTTAATAATTGTTTGAATGTTGTTAAATTTTATTATTAGATTAATTTTTAATTATGTTAATTTGTATGTCAATTATTAGTGTAAATTTTTTAGTTATTTATTTAATTTTTTTAATTGTTAGATTATTTTTGTTAAGTTTTAGTTTTTAATTATGTTAATTTTTAGGTTAAATTTTATTTATGCAATTTTTTTGTAATTTAGTTAAGGTTGATTAATTGTTAATTTATTTGTTATTAATTTTTAGGTTGAAATTTAGGTATTTAATTGTTAATTATTATTTTAAATTTTTTAATTAATTATTTATTTATTTGTGCTAATTATTAGTTGAATTTTGTTAATTGTTTGTTTGTAATTATATAATTTTTTGGGTAATTTAGCTAAATTGTTTTGATTATTTCTTAAGTTATTTTTAATTAATCGGTTTGTTAATTTTTTTAATTTATTTTTAATTTTTTAATTTTTAATTCATTATTTTTAAATTTATATGATATTTAAATTTGGATTAATGTAATTAGTTAAGATCAATTTAATGTAATTAATTTGATTCATGTTTAGTTCGAATATAAATGCTAGAAGTAATTGTTCTAGCTTGATTATTAAAAATGAAGGAAGATAACATGCATAATGATTTAATCGTTTGGGAAATAAAAAAATTGGAATAAAGATGTAATTGAAAAAAATTTGAGATCGTTCTTTAATTAAAGATTTAATCAAAATCGTTCTTTAATCGAATCCTATAATTAAAGATTTAATTGAAAAAAAAATCATCGTTGTGATATACAAATATTAACTCGATTGCAATAATGTTAAAATTTATAAACATTTTATTTAGGATTAATTTAATTACATTTAGTTGAATTTAGTATTAAATTAATTAGAAAATTTTAATAAAGATAAACGTTTTTAGCTTCAATATAGATAACTTTTCATTAATTAATAGAATTTTCAAATTTTTATTTATTTAATTTAAAATATTTTAAATTATGGAATATAATATTATTTTTTCTAGGGTTCTTTTACTATAGAAAATAAAATTTAATGAAAGTGTTTAAATGGTATAATAAAAAAAAAACCACTTATCATAATTTAATAAAAAAATTTCTTTGAGTACTTACTATAAAAAATAATTTAGGATGGAAGTTCCCTCCAAAATAAAATGATAAAATCATAATTTAATAATACTGTAACAAATAACACATATCTTCATCAAACAATAAAATAATTGGTAAAAAATGAAACGAAAAATGCTTAGTTGGCAATTTAAAAAATAATATATTCAAAAAAAATAAAAATTATATATTCAATTAAAAAATATTAAAACTAAAAAAATCAAAGTTCAAGAACTTGATTGAAATAAAGTGAAAATAGGTGTACTAATAGCAAGTTAAGGTAGAAAATGTAAAAAAAAAAAAATTACATAATAAATCATTGAATATTATAAAATTAAATATTTAAGAATAAAAAAAAAGATATAATCATTCTTCAAACAAAATTCCTAATAAGTAGCGTTAATTTTACACAACCAATATATATGCTTAATTTTTAAAAAATTCATTAGAATGATGATAAATAATTTTTTGCATGTGTTGTGTAATTCTTATAGTAATTACAAAAATGAGATATGATCGACAATTGATGAATAGTAGGTCGGTTGACGGGTTGTTAAATGATGACTTTGTCAAAAGGGTATAATAGTTTTTAGCTTTTGCTATTGAGCATCCTAAATGTATGGACGAAACCAAAATTAGGAGTACTTATAATTACTTATAAGTGTCAAAACATAAATAATGAAGAGGTTGAAACGATAAAATATCATTTATGCCATAAGGGTTTTGTGTCATGATATTATGATTGAATACATTATGGCAAATGTGAGTCCTACATGACATTTATTGATTCTAGAAATCATTATGTTTCGAAAATTATTATATTAGGCGTAGGTAATTCTAGTGAACCTTAAAACCCATATCAAACTATGATAATGGATGCGATCAATCCATCCTTCGATCCGTCTAGCACGAGAGGAGGTTTCAAATCTCGATACCCGAGCACTTTTATGACATGCTTGAATGGATACGTAGAGAGATTTGACTCGATTGTGATGAGCGATCACAATTTTCAGCAATTGCTCGAATATTAAATCTAAAAGTCGAATATCATTTTTCGGAGAATTGTTTCAATCGGTTATGTGAGCTGATGAAAGAGTTGATGCCAATTAATAAGCGTATGATAGATAAGTATTACGAAACAAAGAAGCTAGTTAAAGGGATAGGCTTACCAATGGATAAAATTCATTATTGTCATAACGGCTATGTGATCTATTAGAAGAAAGACGAGTGCATTAGATAAAAACAAGTTATACTAACATCGTTGATATCAAATTTCTCATCGAGGATCAACAAAAGCAAAACTTGTTCTAATAAAAAAATTTACTACTACTTTCCTCTAACCTCACATATGCGATGATTGTATGCATTGCATGTGACGATTGAGCACATGACATGGCATATTGAATATGAGGTAGAAGAAGTAAGAGTAATACGTCATCCCTCTAATTCTATTACATGATAAAGTTTTAACTAG